GAGAACAGGGTGCAGTAGATAATAAAGACTGAGTTCAGTTTTCCTTTGGTACAGGGAGTGAAGGGCAGGAAGAGACATAGACTCTAAGTGCATAATGCATAAGGTGTATCAAGACGGGCATAGACAAAGCCAATACCAATACCTGGCTCTGGAGTGAAATTACACGGCTGAGGCTGTACACACTTTGGAATTTTATAATGTATACATGTCATCACTCAAAACCAGATTTTTGAGTTATACATAAGTGTGCACATCTGTAATTCCAGCACTTGGAAAGCTGAAACAGCAGGATCAGGAGGTCAAGGCCAGCTGGGGCAACCTAGTGAGTTTAAGTCTGACCTGGACTGCATAGAGAGAATGCCTCAAAAACAAAAAACAAAAAACAAAAAATTACCTACACTAAAACTGTTATCTCTAAATCATATAAACTGAGAAGTTTTTTTTCTTAAACTATTATAGAAAGGACACAAGTATCATTAGAATGGTCCAGATAGATTCCCATATAACCTGGGCATTCTAGGAACTTCCTGAACTACATCAGCAGTAGCTGATTTCATCATACTCAAGATAACACAAGCATTTCTATTAGGCTCATATAAGCACAGTATGTCTTTGACCTTTGAGTCTCCAAACCTAAGCATACCACAGAAGGACATACATTGACTCACCCGGAATTCTGCCATGGCTTTCTGAAAAAGCAAGATTTCCTTTCACAAACTCTTGATGACCACACAGCTCTGAAGGCCCATCAAACACAGCGGTGTGGAACAGAACGTTTCTTGACATAAATGGAATTTGGAGCTATTTTCAAATTTAGAACACATTTACACCGTAATGTGAAGGCATTTTTAGCTCCCAAATGGTAACTGACATTTGAGGACTTACTATCTGCCAAGGCTTCACATGCATTATGTTTTCTAATCCTCACCATGACTATGCAAGAGGGGCAACCTGTATTTTTTCCATTTTATAGGTGAGGAAACTGAGGCTCAGAGATGTTTTGCCAAAGTCACAGTGCGAGTCTCAAAGCCAGGCAGTCTGGCTCCAGAAAACCCCTCTTATCTCCTACTTCCCTCTGCCGGTTTTCAAATCACAAAATCTGGCCTCATGTGTGACACCTCGACCTACTTCTTCTGCTGTGCCTCCTCCATAACACTAGATGTCATGGTAGGCAGATAATGGCCTCCCACAGATGTCTACCTCTATTTCCAGAACGTATGAATATGGTACCTAACATGGAAGAGGAGGTCAAGAAGTAATTCCGGTTCCCAATCAACTGACCTTAAAAAAAATTATACTGGACTATCAAGATTGTCCTCAGATGCATAAGAGGGAGAGGAAAACAGAGTGATGTGATGAGGAAGAGGGAGGAGGGGGCCACAAGCCAAACAGGGAGGGAGACGAGGGCCTGAAGCTGGAAAAGGGAGAGGAACGGACTTCCCCCCCGCCCCCCATCCCCCACCCCCCGCTAGAGCCTCCAGAAAGGAATATAGTCTTGTGTACACTTGGATGTTAGCTCAGAGAGACCCTTTTCAGACTTCCTAGCCTCTGAACTTTAAGTAGGAGATTCATGTTTTATGCCACTAAGTGTGTGTTAATTTGTTACACCAGCAACTAAAAAATCTTTAAAATCAAATGCGCATGATGACAAGTGCTACAGAGAAAAAATGTGGGGAGCTATGACAAGACCATGGGTGACAATGGACAGCTCTGTAAATAAGACAGGATCATATGACAGTCATCTTCTCCATAAAGAGTGGACAGGATGTCGACCTTGGACTATTAGGGCTTAGATGTAAAGTGTCCTCGCAAATTTTTGTGTGTAGAAGATGATTGGATCACGGGGCTGATTTGAGTACCTGAATGTGCTGTTAGAAGGTGGGACCTGGTTGGAGGTGGGTCACTGGGGACTTGACCTGGAAGCGTGTATCTCCCTCTCTAGAACTTCCCTTGGTCCTCTGCTTCCTGGCTGGCATGATGTGAGCAAATTTCCTCCACCAGACCCTTCTACAATGCCTTTCTTGCCTTGCAGCCTGCTCACTATTGACTATATCCTCTCAAAATAATGAGCTCAAATAAACCTCTTCTCCTCTAACTTGTGGGTATCAGGTATTATGTTCAGTGATAGGCAAGTAACTGAGACAAGGGCCATCAACAACCTGAGGTTGGAAAATAGTCTAGATCTGTGCTGTCCAACAGAACTTTCTGGAGCAGTAGAAATGTTCTACACTGTCCTGTGTGGTAGTCATGAACCATGTGTGGCTACCAAGTACCTGAAATGTTAATTTAAATCTGTAGAACCACATGGCTTCTACTAGCCTTTTGGCCAGGGTAGCTCTAAGCAGTTACAAAGCCATCAGAGGAAAGAGCTTTCTCTTATAAAATGAATCGTGCCTCCCCTCTGCTGGTGTCTTCTCTGAGCCAAGGTCAAAGTCAGTCGTGGAAACATAAGCTATAAATCCAGGTGGTCATGAGCAGTGACTCCAGCATGTCTGCTTCTCAGCCAAGTATCTCTGGCTTTACCGGCCATGCACGACTCAGTTTCCTCTGGTATAATATGGGGAAAAGCAATCAATGTCTCAGCATGAGATATCTCATGTAAAGGGCAAGTTGTCAGTCTTGGTAGCAAACTGTCAGGAGTTTGTTGTTTCTTCACAATATTCTGTCTTCCACAGTTACACTGAGGGCTCCCAAAGTAGGTTCTGATTCCTTTCTATGCCTCTCCTTCATCAGCATCTAACATAACAGCTGGCACTCAGCACAGCCTCAGTACAGTATAAGCATATGAACCAGACTGAATCCACTTAAGTCTGAATGCCTTTAATGCTCAATGCTGTACATGTAATTTTAAGTACTAAATATGCTGAGTCCAAGCATGCATGTGAGTGGCATCTCTCCACAGCTGAGAGCCTGGCTGGCAGGGCTGGGACAGAGTCACTGGAAAGGGACCTGAAAACCCTCCTCCCCTCACACTCCATTCCTCCCACCCATGCCTGTGACATCTTTCACAAAAGGAGGAGTTTGAGGAGGCCGTTCTCCATGATTAGCAAAGATTAAAAATACTGTAGGAAAGGGCTGAATCAACTGAAATTCATACAAGACAGAGAAGCTTAGAGCTGGTAGGTTATTCAGTCATTCTTAACCTTGCCCTGGGTTAGGATCGACTGAGGAGTTTTTGAAAATTACTGTACCAGTGAAGTCAGAATCTCAAGTACCTGGTGATCCAAATGCACAGCCAGGAAGGAAAGGACTGCTGGATTGTGCAAGTGCATCCTTCTTCTTCTTCTTTTCTCTTTTTCTTTCTTTCATTCTTTTCGACAATTTACATAATATAAAATTAACCACTGGACATTGTAAAGCAAACAATTCAATGGCGTTTCATACATTAGTATTTAATTCCAAGACACTTTGCTCATACTGAAAGGACATCCCTGACCGTTAAGCAGGCTTTGTCCTTCCCTCTCTGCAGGCTCAGAGTTCCAACTTTGTCCCTCAGAAGGAAACACATTCAGGATCAGAGTGGAGAAGACCCGGGATCCTCCTTAAATTCTAAACCCATGCACCATCCAGACACTTCTCCCTTCACATCTTTTTTCTGAGTTAGTGACTGGAGGAGTGGACTCTTCACGGCCAGAACTCTCTCTTCCAGCTCCACAAATCAATGCCAGTCTCAGCTAAGTGCTCTGACATGCTCAGGCCCCTCACTCTCCCCACAAAATCTTGGAAAGTTAATTCAGGACAGATGGGAACTGGTCAGCTTGCAACCATTTTCAATCTTAGAATCCTCCAAAAATAGCTGAACTCTTATGCATATTTCAGGGTAGGCTTGTTTATTTTCCCCATGTCTGTGCCAACAAGCTAATTTCCCCAGAGGGGAAAGGAAAGCAAAGACTGCTGCCTGCAAACAGAAAACTGGGTGTCCGCCTCTCCAGAGAGCAGGGCCTTTCTTCTCCCTGGGTCAGATGTTCCAGTTCACTAGCATAGAAACCCCATGAATGCAAACTCTGGAAGTGGACTTTCAGGTCTTCTCAATCTGCAGGGAGAGAAAGGGGCACCACTATCCCCAACCTGGGCCTCTTCATAACAACCAGGCATGAAAAAATAAAAAAGAATGACTGATTTAAATTCCAAAGTGAGAAAGGCCCATGGTAGGCCCGGAGTCTGCATGATGAGGGCCAAGGTTTGCATGATGATAGGCAAGGCTTGGACACAAGATGAGCAGAAAAATCTGTTTAAATATACTATTATCCCAGCCACCCAATCAAGTGCACCCAGAATGGAAAGTGGTAAAATCCCAATCAGGAAGCCTTGAGACCCCCACTTGTTCACTGCTAACCACTGCAAATCTCCTTAAGGCAGACACAGCGATAGACCCTGAGATGTGCATGGATTTGCTTTCCACTGTTGGAGCTGGTGGGCAAGGGAGCTGTCAGCAATGCCCACCTCGGCTGCTCATAAAGACCTGGGCAAGGCAGAGTCTTTGTCTCCCTCTTCCAATTGTGGGGAATCAAGAAGATAAAACTCCAGCATTCAGGACATTCATGAAGATGAAATAAAATACCATAGGCAGTCTTCCCAAACCATCTCTTTTGAAATGAGCTTCAACCATCACACTGCTTTTTTTTTTCTCAGTAGAGTCTCCTGAATTCATAGAAATGGGAAAGTAGCCAAAGTCACAAGAACTTGCAGTTTTTTTTCTTTTTTTCTAGAGATATTCTGGATAGCATTACTTCTGAGAAGAAAAGCCTTAGGGCCTCATGGATAGGAGCAAAAGAGGTGAACACAGGCTAGTCTGATGCTAAATAGATTTTTCCTTTCTTAATTGGTATTATTGATCATGTGCTATGTGCCCACTGCTCTGCTGGTCACATCCACATATGTTAGTTCCATGGGGGGGAGACATTAATATTCCACTTTGGGGGTCTTTTGAGATGAATGACATTTTGTACTTTTTATTTTGAAATGTACACATGAAGAAAACAAGGCTCAAAAGGCTCAAATGACATGTCTGATGTTCCTGAGGTGATGTGTGGTGGATTGAGCATCCAGCGGCTGTGGTGTCCACATCCAAAGACTCTTTCCATTACACTGCTCTGAAAGAAATAGAAATTCCAAGGAAAACCAGAGCATTAGTCTTGACGTGCTTCTACAAAGCAATTTATTTCATACTTCCACTATCCTTGTTCAGTGCCAAAAGGGAGACATGTGCTTCATCTCCCTCTCTCTCTCTC